GTCGAGATGAATTACTGTCTCATGTTGGCGGGAGAGAAGCCATTGGAAGATAATTGTTGTATAAATGTTTGGCTTTTTTCAAAGGTTCCATTGTTCATTGCTATGTCACTTTTTCTCGTTTCAGCTCTAACTGCCAAAGTTTTGGATGAATAAAGCCTAGATTCTGGGCCCTCAGCCTTCTCCATTCTTATCCTGATTGTCACTGCACTCCGAAATTTTCATCGAACAATGGATCTATTCCCAAGTCCTAAATGATTTGATACCGATCCCAATAACCAAAACTCGGCAGTTACCTGGGGACATTGGTTTTGTACTTTCACGAACTTCCTAAAGTCAAATGCTCCTCATTCACCAGATAAACCGAAAACCTTGTTCAATTACGTTTCCCCTAGTGCTTACCGGTTCACCAAAGACTGCACAGACTACGAATCAATTATCGCAACCTTACGAGAAATTCATGTGCACGAAAAATGAAGTTTTTGCCTGGCATCTTTCGAACACTTGTAAGCAGGACGGAGATCAGAATCTTGATCAGTTTATGCGAAAGCTCTAGAGTTGGTTGCCAGATTATCGCTCTATGACTGTCAGTGTAGAACAACAAAGCGATGAAGCATTACGAGACGCTTTCATTAACGGACTTTATTCGAATACTATACGCCAGACCGTTGCAACACAAGTCGCTGGCTTTTCGAAACCGCCTAAGACCATACAAAATCCCTTGAACTAGCGCAAAAACAACCGCAGTAGTTTTTGCCAAACAATCAACTTCCCTTTGCTACCGTATCGAACGACCTGTCAGTCTCCACGCTCTCAAACATCATCGCATGAACAGACGACTGCTAATGATATGAGGTTCCCATGTTTCTTCTGTGGCTATGCTCGTCACCCGCGTTATAAATGCAAAAACTGTGAAAAGGGCATTTTCAAGAAGTATGCAGATCTACTACTGGTCTGTGGAAGACCTCATGTGTTTGAAGTGCACTATTCTACGTCAGTCTCTATGGAGAGCGCAAGTGCTCGTCACGACAGATGAGCGACAGAAGAAACAAATGATGGTTGAGCATAGTCAAAATATAAACCAGCTCCATAACTGGACGCTTATCCTTTCCCCAGACTTAAAGATATGAGTAGTGAAATAGATCAACATCGTATTTTCAGTATCTTGATAGTGTGTATCATTAAATATCCATTAAGAAGTGACAGTCTACAAGGATTTTGAGGTTTGCAACAATCTTTACCAGTTTCATCCAATACCTTTCGGAGAACGAATGGAGTAGTGCCTTCAAAAGGTATTGGATGGCATAATACGCGCGGGAAAACTTCCCGGGAAACATGCTTATGTGGATAATGTCGCCATTTGTGAAAAGAATCAAGAGGAACAAGATCGAAACCTCCGGCGATTTCTAGCCGTAGCATCAAAGCGTGACCTTTTCTGAAATCATGATAAAAGCACATTTTCCAGCACTAAACTCCTCCGGTATAAAAATACTGAAATTATCATCAAATAAGACCCTGAACGTTCCAAGGTCTCGGAAGAACTGTCTGTTCCGAAGGACATGAAGTCTCAACAACATGTGGTTGGCTTGTTCACGTACAATTCCCGTTGGATAAGCCGTTTCTCTGATAAAATCTATCCAATCACTCGTAATACAACCTTTCCAGTCCCTGAATCCGTGTAAAAGCGTTTGGAAACCTCAATAAAGAGTTGATGGATGTAGTCGTGGTCACAATAGATCTGAGAACACCATTGATACTCGAAAATGATGTGGTTTCCGCTACTCTATATCAAGATGGCTAACCGGTCGCATTCTTTTCAAGTATACTGTCTGCCAGCGTGCGCAATTGTCAAAGAAGTGAGCAAATGGAAGCATTACCTACTCGGGACCCATTTCAAGATCGTAACCGATCAGCGATCCGTTGCGTTCAGGTATTTGATACAAAAGGAAAAATAAAAATGACTACACACCAGGCATAAAAATAAAGCTGCTGACATTTTCCCGGAGTGTCAAAGTTTTGCACGGATAAAGCTTAGCTTCTCGTCCCGCAGTCTTCTTATCCTGATTGTCGCTGCACTCCATCCATCGTCGAACATAGCTATAACATTCTAGCGTTTGTATGGAAGCCCTAAAGAAAATATCATCGGGAAAAACCACGATCAATGATCTAAGATGCTGATGCCACAATACGCGGAGGTCATGAGAAGGGAACAGTGGGGATCCAGGTGTGGGAGAGTACATCTGATCCCCAAAAAGTTGGTGACCGTATTGACGCTGTCACTCCACCGTATTCAACTGACATACAGGCAGGAGTCGTACATGAAAGGACAAGTATGGTGTCATTCAATAAAAAGACAAGTTAAACAGCTATGACACTCACTCCTTTGCAAAACTGATGACCACAGGAAGCTGCCAAGATTAGTGGATATTCTTTTTTGCACCACGTGCAGAGGAACGAGTCATCAGTGTCAGGGTGTCGAAAAAAACTATCCTCACCATCACATAGTTCATCACATTTGCGACAACTGTCACAGCAGGCAGGCAAAGGGTAGGACGTATTCAGCTGAGAATCGTTAGGACGGCCGAGCCTGCCACGGTAACCACGACGAGCAGGCATGTCTAGTGATAGCCCCCAACCGCATTGCTCTTCGAAGGTCATTGGTCAAAATCCAACATCCAATCAGTGGTTCAGTGATCGATATTGGGAGACCAAGTTCGAAACAAGGAGTTCGGGTTCAGTCATCCATTGAGCTTCTTCTGTCACACTTCTTCTCCGCATTGCTATTGGGTAAAATATATCCTCTTGTAAGAATTGGAACCGCTGTAAATCAGAAATCCTCCAGTAGAGCCCACCCAATCAGGCCATGAGGCTAGGACTCACACTGAATAACAAGAACTATTTATATGCTTGAGACACCGCCACGGAAACATGCCACGAGCCTTCCCACTAGATGACAGAAATGAGTGGCAGTTTTTTTCGGTTGAACGTTTCAGGTGGACGAAAGCATGTCACCCGAGAAGCTTTGTCGAAGCCCTCGATTCTGCTTAACGATACGTGAATCCGTGAAGGACACAGTGGACTCACTTTCACAAGGTAGAACGTTCAGGATGTTAGGATCGGAAAAAGTTCCTGCAAGAAGTAACGCTCAGCTTGGCTCACCTTTATGCTCAAAAATTTCCCGACGGCTTGAAAAACTGCAACTTTCCCTCTGCTTGGAAAGGAGCGATTTCCGCACCAATCTACAAATGTGCAGGCCGCTCATCAACCTGCAGCCCTCTGCCCCGTGGCCACATTACCATACGCGTTTTGAACCTGGCCATTCTAAATTCCTTCACTGTCGACAACCTGTGCAATGCGCGTTTCTCCTAAACCGATTTTGCTGGGCGAACATGCCCGTGTCCATTGACAGAGAACCCAGGTCAATAAAATAGAGGATCTATACTTGTCCCCACTTTCTAGCGGCAGCGGAGATATCCAGGATAGCATGTTCGGCCATTTACTGTTTTCTGCTATGCATTAATAATGTCACTGGGTTGATAATCCATGGATCCCCTTCTCTGTTCACTGACGATATTAATATGGCTTGCATGTTCAGGGCCAGTGACAGTTTCTATTACAGTTAACATTCAGTGTGATTTGAATGCTTTGTCCCTCTAATCCTGCAATTCCTGTCTATCTTTCGCTTTTCCAAAATGTCGAGCTCTCCCATATCAATTTCAGAGTCCTCCTCGGATTCTTATTCTTAATGAACTTTCAAATCCCAATGTTCCTGAAGTGAGAGACACAGGTCTTAGGTATTCCTTTACGTCTGTTTCTTTCCCGAATGCTTGGTACTGAGTGGCTATAGCCCGCAAACTCTGCGCATTTATTCGCCAAGCACTCCGCAGTAAAAATGTTTAATGGCCATCCTCAAGCGGGTTGCAAGTTTCATTGTTGGATCTAGTCATGAATGTGCCTCACAACAATCAGAGGCAGGCCGAACTTCTGCGGAGAATGTTCAGCGCTAGTGGGCTAAATCCTTGTCTCCAGGATTCGCCCGCATTACCATATTGTATTCTCGCCTGTTACTTTGGTGGGATCCTTTATGGCTGTGGTGCATTTCGCCAAACCCGGGCCTTCTGCATTGTCTACCCTACCAACGCGCTTAAATAGGTGACTTCTGTCCTGGACTTTCTTCCAGCCATACCCACAATTTCCCCAACTCTCGATTGTTGCCCCCTTCTGTCGACCTCTCGAACTATCTTAACACAACACTTCTTCTTCTCCCCCTCATTCCCCCATATCCATACTACATCCTCTCATGTAGACTGTCGAAACACACTCAATTCTTACCTGGCTATTGAAGGACCTGAGCGTCTCTTGGCGCTACAGCTTACAAAATAGCTTCCAGCGTGATAACAGCAGGTGGGGCTCCTTGATTTTCAGGGTCAGGTGTTGTAAAATATTTTTTGAACTCCAGCCCGACCGTAGCATTTTAAGTATTTACAGTGCAGCATTTGGCTACCTATTTAGGCTCTCCAACTTCGACCGCTCTCAAACATCCCTCTCACCCTTTCCCGGTTGGCTGGGCTTCCTTGAGTTCTAGGCTTGTCAGCACCATTCCAAAGAGGCCTGCTAATGCCTTAATCAAATCGGGTGATGCCATAACCTACACCGCCCTATAAGCGGCTGGTAGATCTCGACCCTCGAAAATCTTTTACATCATGGTGTCCATAGAAGCGCCCTGCAGGCAATGAGCCCAGCAATCAATCCTCAAGGCCGGTCGATATAGAGCTCCAATGAAATTCCGACTGCTCAGCAGTAGTAACAGACATTTATCTTTCTGCCACACAGTATTTGTCTCCCCTCCGCATTACCAAAAGAATCTTAGCTCCGCACTGTCCTGGCAAATCTGATAGCTCGTGTGCGCAAGTTGGACAGTGAACTAATATCCTGCCGAGGCATGCAAACAATTGTCTGCTTTCCCAATTCCAGCAAAACGTGTGATCCAGTAGGTCTTGCGAAACCGTGAGTGCCTGTGGAACACTCGCCTCAGAGATTAGTCGACGCAAAGAATGCCGTAGATTGGTCTTAATATACAGTGTTCCCAACCCCATCCCGGTGGAACGCAAAAAACTACCCTCCTGACAGCATGAAGCATGCGTCACAGTCTGTCCGGCTTGACAGCTGCAAAAGTCAAATCCATCCTTGCTTTGCCCACTGCTATTTTTGATCAGAACTCAAAGCGGGGCGTCCGCTAACACCCCAGGCCCTCCCATCCTCTACCCGAAAATTCCAGACCGTAAAGTTCAAATCTGCCGGCACTGGGCTACAAAGATAGCTTACAAATACTCCGAATTCCAGACATCTAGAGGCGACTGCTGGTGACTATCAAAAGGATCCATCTACCCTTCAATAACCCGTACCGGTAAATAACCTCGGTGTGATTGACTTCCCATAAAACCAAGCCCTTGAAACTCATATCACTGATGAAACAGGTGCACCGAGTAGCCGCTGAATCCCGATTGAAACAACGCTTAACCGAGTCTGCACACTGTTCCGGCCACTTTTACAACCCACTCTAGTTCAGTTGGGCACCCAACCGTCCTCGACATTAGTGTAGCCTGTTCCAAACTGGCCGCGTTATCCCCCAAAGCTTGGTACAAATGGTACATTATTGCATCCGTGGCCTCCCAAACAATGCCAACGTTTTCATTGGCCGGGCTCCGAGCCTAACTTTGGTCCTTACCAAGCTCTTCTCTTTGGCCAACCGAAAGCCACTTGCTTGAGATTTCTATTCGGCAGCTGCACAGCTATCTACATCGTTACCTCCGAAGCCAGTCACAGCCCTAACTTTAAGGCTTTTAAAAGGCGCATCAAAACGTACACACCACATGCCCGGAAGAAACCGGTATCCACAACGGCCGGTCAATAGCTCCGGCCATCATCCTTTTAATAATAATAATAAGGTTTATTCCCAACTTGTGGGTCGCATACCTTCTGGCATGATCATAGTTTTACAGTCAGAATGGAGGATGACTGGGGGATTTGTGGGGGTGCGGATTGCACAAAAAGAGGAAAATGTCATAAGCAGTGGTGATAGTGATATAGTAATAATAGGTTATTTCCCAACTTGTTGGGGAAAATGGGCATGAGGTTCGACTAGATCAAAGACAGTCATGTGACATGAACTAAAACTGAAAACCACTGCTGGTCATGAGTGACCCTGAGTGGTAAGGTAAATGGCTGGAGTCACAACGATCAAAAGTGGAGATGGAGATGGGATAATTCAAATTGGGAGCACATGACAGGTTTTGTCTCAAAAATGTGGTTTAATCTGAAAGCAAGCAGGCTCACTGGTTGCACTGTTTTAGGGGAGTCAGGTGCAGGGGGATGGGTTGGACGGGGGCACGTTGCTAATACATAGGGCGACCTGAACTCCGTATACGGATATGAACCTGTGCAACAGGAAAGACGAAATTGCAGCAGAAAAGCCAGGGTAGCCAAATCTGAGCGAAAATTTACTGGGTACTGAAGAGCTCATCCCGGATACCTGCTAACCAACTTTCGTCCCACCTGAACACCATTTTCGGAAGTCACTCCTCCCTCCGCAGTCACCACCCCTTTTCGCATATAATCCCTCTCCACACCTTACGTTGCGGAAGACATGGCTAACAACTCTGCATTCAAATGCATGCTCTCCTCCCTAAGTCATTTCCTACCCTAAACTGAGCCAGATACAGTACATCCTGCCAAGGGTTGAGACCTATTTCACCGACCTATTTCACCCATCTATCGTTGATGATGTATGCTGTATTCGGGACTCGCGAATCTGCTTCATATTACCCCACCTCTAGGATCCAAGTACACGTGGTACTAGGTGTAGAAGACAGCTTGCAAACAATGTGCT